TAATAATGGATGTCCCTTTACACTCTGTGCTGGTTAAACCTGTTTACATCTCTCTAATATATATTTATCACAGTATATACATATAGACACACATATATATTTTATTATATTCTGTTCCTACTGAATAGCTGCCCTATTTTTTGTCTTTATGTCTTAAAGACAAAAAATAGTTTTATTATTTTTACTTACATTATTTACTTTTTTTATACATATTTGTATGAGCATTGTTTAAGGGAGCCTGAGAACTAAGAATTTTATTGTCAACAACAAGTTGTAATTCATATGACAATAAGGAACTTGAAAGATAGGTGGACAGTGTATTTACATTTTGGTGATATGGAGAGGTATGTAGCTTAACCTGTGGTTAGTTTCTCTCCAGACCCAGGGTTCTGCACAGAAGGTATATAATAACATAAATAATATCATATTTTCAGCATCAGCATACAATATCACAACTTTCACATAGATCATCAAACATTACTCCTGCCTTTCCAGATTAACAAAATATTTTAAAGTACTGACCTCCAGCCTTGCAGTCGAGGTCAACATGACCATCCACTTTGTCTCTGTCTCCATCCTGTAGCACTGTTATGGAAAATCAATGCCCAACATTCAAATCTCCAGTTCAAATTATTGAGACCCCAGTGGCATACGGTCAAAAACTAATTGCGTAACATTACAGGGCAGTAAAAATGTGTGCCTGTCCCTTTGCATCCTGTAATTCTGATGCATTCCCTAAAATGATGAAATTTCTTTCACAGAGACATACAGAAACATGATATGTTATTCTCTTTTCTCCCATCTCAAACACCAAGCTGTCATCAAGTTTGACTACTGCCAACATAAATTTGTTTATTATGGATTTCAAAAATGTGTGCATCATATTTCTCTTTTATTATTTAATTTGCTTAGATTGTTTAACCCATTGTGAGCCACAGCAGAGTCTGAGGTTCTTGAGAGGGGCCTTAATAACCGTTCTGGATTCAAGGCTTCAGACCAAAAAGTAATCAGCTCTTTGAAGTCCAGGCCTCAAGTCTTTAAATCACTCTGTCTGCCTTCTGTCTGAGAGGCTTTTTAGATCAACAACACTGCAGGGAGCCAATATTTAGGAATGCAAGGCTCAGAGTTATAATGAAACAAATATTTGTGTGAGAAAATTAAATCAACATTGATTTGTTGAGTTGTACACTCTCTGGTACACTGGTACCTGCTAATTGCACCCTGCAACTGTTAAAAATAATAAACAAATAATGAAAAAGTGCATTTTCTCTGTCTGTTTTTTTTAATGTTTTTCATTAATCGTTGAATCTTACTCCAATTCGATTGTTGCATCAGCTTATTGTTTATTGTCCATGTATAATGCAGGCTTAGACACTTAACCACTCATCTATGAATCATCAGTCATATCCAGATAGTCTACTCACACACTACACACACACACACACACACACACACACACACACACACACACACACACACACACACAGAAACAATGGGTGTTTTCTGATCTGCATCCAATCAATCCTGTGAGGTTAATTTATCTAACCTGCCATTCAACTATGTATATGGAAAGTTGATTTTCTAGCATGTACCTGACGTACCATAACACACATGTAATAGTGACTCAATAAATACTTTTTGATCTCCCATAAGATAAAAGGATTTTATCACTGTGACAAAGTTGGTTATGGCTTAAATTCTGCTCTACTTTGTTACGAGACCATGGAACCTTATTATGTGGAACCAATACCATTTGCCATAATATAATTACCACGCTTGTGACAAAGGAAACCATGCACCCCCAATTCAAATATGAGCTGTCTAAATGGTGGTTCCCTCAAGCTTATGCATGTCCATATTGGTCATAGGAGGGTGGATCCAATTAGTGGCTTATCAGTGACAGACAGAGGAAAAGTCTCTCAACCAAAGAAAAGGATACAGGCAATATCTATATCACAGTTGAATCAACATTTGGACACATGAAATTCTGCAAGAAAAGTTGTAAAATTGATTACAAAAATGTTTTTACACAAAAGAAATCTGTTCAGTAAAACTGTCAATGGATGATAGATAATATCCCTTGTTGCCAAGGACTCAGAAAAATCCTCAAATCTCACCCTGGCTGTGAAATCTGCATTTGTGTGTGTTCGTGTGTGTAACAGAGATCAGTGCAGCGCTCATGCAGGCAGTCACGTTGTCACCTCCTGTAACATCACAGCATGAAAATCACTTAAACCTCTAGAGTCCTGCAGTGATTGGGGCAAACGCACACACAAACGCACACACAAACACACACACACACACACATACACCAAAGCTGATTTTCCATTGGACTTTATTCCTACACCTAGGCAAAGGAAATGACAACAAGCAACAACAAAAAACCTGTTTGCCTTTTTGTTGCTTCATACATGGTCCTTTACTTTGAAGACCAATTGCTATGGACCAAATTGTTTTACAACTTATCTACAAAAATGTTATCACTGAAACATTTACAAACAAGAAAATGCACATTCAGGTGGACTAGTATCATTTCATGTAGTGGTCTACACTTTGGTTGTCAGTCTCGAAATTTGTTTGAATATCACTCCTCATAAAAACCCACTGATCAATCAAATTAGATCGATGCCTTTTCTCTTTACACAGCGTAGTCCAAATAATTTCAAGGGTCAGAAAGATTGCTGTAAGATGACTGGATCATTATTTATTAATGGATTGATATTTAGATTGACAGACAACCAATTGATTTCTACGTTGGTCGGTGGACATTTACATGAGAAGATTCTCTGAAAAGAAAAGGCTCTTCAAGACAAAGCCGTACAGCATCCTCCACTGAGCTGTTTATGATGCTTGTATTCTACCACAAAACCCTGACTGGTCCATTACCCACTCATAGTCCACGGCTCTGCTTGGTAATAATGAGATCTCAATGTGTCCCGGAGCCATGGAAACAAGATAATACTATTAGAAACCTTGGTAATAATGGGAATGTGTGCTTGTGTGAAATCCTGCTATTCCTCCCTGTAATTAGCGTGCGCATGTGTTTCTGTGTGTGCAAGTGTTTGCATGCGTGAAAGTAATCCAGAGAGATGCTGTTAACACTCATCTGTTTCCATAACAACTGCAGCAGCCCCACTGTTAATGAGTAGGCTCACTGACTAACTGGAGGGCTGTCTGGCTGGTAACATAACTTCCAGACTGGTTGGCTGATCAGCAAGCAAGGTCACTCATGATTTACCAACTGTCTGGTGTACTGACAGGCAAACAAACTGGCTGTTTGAAGCACATAGTTTTTTCAGAAAAACTGTTACAGTTTTTTTTTCAATTGCTAACATGCATTGGTCAAAACTGAAGTCACATTGTCAAAAATCTTCACATAGTCAGAGAAACATAACTGTTTGTGGACCAAACTGTGAATCAGTTTTCATTGCTTTCATACAAAAAAGCATTCAATGACCACTTTCTCCAAAATCCATGAACTCATTACTACTCCACCACCTGCAAAAAACTATATATTTGCCGCATATTTTTCAAATGCTAACACACATTCAAAACAGAATGATGGCAAATGTCCTGCATTTTTGCAGCAACCAGACTAAAATACAGAGAAAATCTTATACACAATATTTACAGTAATTTTTATGTTTACCTCTATGTGCATAGAGAACTGTGTGTAGTGTTTTGAACTGCAGTCTGAGAGTAAAGCAGGAAATGTGCTTGTATTTTAGCAGACTTGTTTCGGGGGATTGGTACATGAATTACAGGTTGTGGTCATTGTGTCCCATCAAAAACTGTCTTCTATAATGAAATACTAATTTATGTGAAAAATCATTAAAACTTCAAAGATACAAATGCGTCATTTATATCTAATGCTCCCTGTTGTTAGTGTTTTTAGGTTAGTGTGTAATGAGTGACAGTGTATGCTTTCTGAGTGAGAATTGTTGCCAGTGTTTGGTTGAATGAGTTTATTTTGAGACATGTATGAAGTGTTTTGGTGGTTTGAGAGAGTTTTGGAGGTAAGATTAACTGTTTTGGTCAAGATGCATGTTGGTAGCCTAACGCAGACTGTATTAAGGTGGCTTCAGTATTGTCTAATGCTTGTTAGCAATTGAAAAATACTGTATTTCAAAGGCACATGTTTCAGTGATGTATGCATATAAAAAGTGGGAGGTGGTTGATCAAAATAATGACACTAGTAACACAAAATATCTAAAATATACAGTATCAGTGCTGACGACTGTATTATGAAAGTGAGGTGGTTGATAAATGTATTTATGGATGTTCTCACTAAACTGAAAGATGATCTTTGACAGGCAATCCTGACACCTGGCGGTCAGGATTTCAAATTGCACATTTAAGGCTGCTTTACCTTCTCTCATCTGCCAGTCAACCTTCAGAGACACGCTGAACATGGAGTTAAATGGGCAATTGAGTTATATTGCCTGTACAGATACTGAAATTGTTCTTTGAGTTTAAGTGTCACGGTATGAGCCGTGGCACTTGTAACAGCCATTTGCATCCTCGAAAAGAAATGACAAATATTTCACTTTAACAGGCAAAGACTTACATATAACATACAACGCATGCATCTTGTTAAAGCATCTTTAACAAGAATGTTTAAAGGGGCCAGAGACAAATGGAAAAGATAATTTAACGTGGAGAATAGATAATCTGGTTAATTCTTCCTATATCCCGTAACGTTACCTTTTTTACCAACAACTTAAATAATTTAACAATTTCCCTCGCCACAAATAAACTTATGTGTTATCTATTAGACTCCTCGTATTTTAAAAGCAGCTAAAGCGGAATGGTTGCGTGTCAGGTGGTACGGACAGTTTCGATGTTACACACTACCTCGGTCGGACCAATCAGAGGACGCGGCTCTAATACGTAATTCCGTACATGTGACGAACTGACATGGAAGCCCTCACGCGCACATCATAGCTGTAAAGAGACTGTTCTCAGATAATTTTCTTGTTTTGTTTTCGTGGTCTTTAGATATGAGGTATTTGCTCCGACTGGGGCATTCGTTTGCCCGCCTCCATGTCCGTTTATGTCACCATAGTGTTTACAGCAGCCATGCAAACCCACGAAGACTGGGAGTGGACCTTGGAGAAAAGTGAGTTGACATTCCAGCTTCCATTTACCGGCAATAACTATTAACGAGTTAGGCATTATTTATTTATTTATTTATTTTTAACTTATGATGCTTTTCTGCGCCCGCTGTCAAAGTGTATCTGTTGCTTTGGTGTCCTCACTTTTACTGATGTAGCTCATCACCAGACCCAGACCAGCCAACTGGGATGTGTTGGTTTTACGTTACAGAACACAGAATTACGTTGGTAGCGTGACTGCATGTACATATGACAGTGGTTTAGTATCTCAGACATTTTCATGTGTTGTGGTCTTGTTGTTTTGGCAGGAAACTTGAGATCTCTTCAGGGAGGTTTGCTAGATTTGCTGATGGAGCTGCTGTGGTACAGGTACAGAAAAAATGTCACAACAAATAGGTGCATGGTTGCACCTGGAAGTTGCTCAATGTTCCCCCTTATCCATATTTGTCCTATATGTTTTTACTTTATTCTACAACATTTCCATGTTGTAATATTACTATCTATTGCATGTCTGTCGGGCCTAGAAAATTGGTCCCTTCTCTATTGCTCTTCCTGAGGTTCCTACTCCTTTGATGGAGCCGTCCCATATGTGACGGGTCTTAGGGATAGAGGATAATATCATATGTTGTACAGATTGTAAAGCTCTGTGATTTGTGATTTTGGGCTTTGAAGTAAAACTGACTTGGCTTGACTTGACTCAGTGCAAAATATGTGTCGGCAGATTAGGAAATGTATTTGCTCAAATTATCTGATGTAACATTATCCTGACGTTTTCCGATGAGGGTGTTTTTATTTATTTTTGTTAACATTCATAAGGCTTGTGTAAAAAATGGCTAGATTAACCCACCAGGGAGCCTTTGACAAAAATGACTACTGACTCTTTTTTGGAGCACATCTAAAAACAGGTTGATAAGAGGGGTAACGATACAGATGTGTATATTGCTAAACAACTGCCCAGTTAATCAAAAGAACACAAACCAGTTGACACATGATATGGACACATATGGCCTATGGGACCTTGTGCAGTTAGCCAGCTTTTTCCAGTTGGTAATCCAACGCTAGTGCAATAGAGCTTGTGTAAATTAAAGTTTTGTGGTGTGTAGTGTGGCTTTTCATCGCTAAAAATATAGTGACGAAAACCTTTTCATAAAAGAAAAGTGTGCTGTAGGACTAAACTGGGCGCTCCCAGATGTTTGATGCTATGTATAATGCTTTTATTTGTCTTTTTGGTAACCCGTTCCATTTCTGTTTCTTTCTGAAGCTGGGAGAGACCTCTGTGATGGTGACTGCTGTGAGCAAAACCAAACCTTCTCCATCTCAGTTTATGCCTCTTGTGGTATGTTCTCTAACTTTCTTTGTTTTTAGACTGTGATTGTGTAGTTTATCGCACTCATTCAGGATTTTTCTTGTTTTGTCTTGTTATATCTATATATAATGTAAAAGTATTTGGTAGATGAATCATTAAGTAGATAGAAAGTGTTATCCAGCCTGTCATCACCCGCCGTTTGTGACTCTAAAAAGATGACCTCAGTACAGTAGTGCATTGGGGTAACATGTTTCTGGGTTGTCTAGTGAATGAACATTCATTTTGATTGACAGGTTGACTACAGACAGAAAGCGGCTGCTGCCGGTCGAATCCCCACTAACTATTTGAGGCGGGAGCTGGGCACCACCGACAATGAGATACTCACCAGCAGGCTCATAGGTGAGATGATAAGAATGTGTCTTGTTTATATGTATAACTGATGTAGGCGGTGTGTACTGACTGTGAATGCCTTTAACTCGAGTGATTTGACTGACAGTTCCTCATGTTTCTGTTGCTCAGACAGGTCTATTAGACCACTGTTCCCTCCAGGTTACTTTTATGATACTCAGGTCAGTTTAAAGGGGTTCTCACTGTTATGGGATAATAAGTTTGCCCTCTTTTGCTTTTTGAACAAAGATGATATTAATGTGTTTCTGACACCGATTTCTTATGTGTATGTGTGCGGTTATGTCAATGTCTCCTGAAGGTTCTTTGTAACCTGCTGGCAGTTGATGGTGTCAATGATCCAGATGTGCTGGCTATTAATGCAGGTGAGTTATATTTCAGCTATTCATGTTTTCCACAGAGCAGAGTTTTTCATATCCTAAAACAATAATTTCTTTCATTCCAGCTTCAGCTGCTCTGGCCCTGTCTGACATCCCCTGGCATGGACCCATAGGTGAGGAACACAACAGATTAAGGCTTATTCACACACTTATTGAATCCTAGTTTTAACTCCTCTATTCAATTTCAATTCCTGGAATATATTACTGTACACTCGTTTTAATCTAGCTCGGGACTGCTCGTGTGTTTTTCCAGGTGCTGTGCGTGTTGGCATGGTAGATGGAGAGTTGGTGATTAACCCCACTAGGGCAGAGATGGCTTCCAGCAGTCTTAACCTCATTGTGGCTGGGGGCCCCAGCAGTCAAGTGGGTACGTTGACAAACACTGTAAAACTCCCAGCAGAAGGTCAGTTGATTATTTACTGAAAACACTTTGACTTATACATGAACCATTTCATAGTGATATAAACTAACAGCTGCTTATAAAGCAGTAGCAAAGTGGTAGCATCATACAACACTTCTTTAATGCGTCTCTCTGTCCACCAGTGATGATTGAGGCGTCAGCTGAGAACGTGCTGCAGCAGGACTTTTGCCATGCAGTGAAGGTGGGAGTCAAACACACCCAGCAGATCATACACGCCATCCAGCAGCTGGCGCGAGAACAGAAGGTCACCAAGCGCACCCCAGTCAAGGTCTTCTCAGCCCCGACTGACATGGTGGAAAATGTTCGGCAGTAAGACCAGAGATGAAACAGTTTTCTGCAGTTTAAGAGTGATTTAGGTGACAAGTGAAGTTTGCTTACGTGCAATACAAGGAGAGTTTTAGCTATATTAGTAGGAATTGTGTATAAAATGGTAAAACATCAGTATAGCCCTGGGACTGTATTTAGATTTAATTTCCAGAATAAAACAAAATCACTTTCAAGGATTATTTTTACTGAATGAAATTGTCTGTAAATTAGACAAAGGCTTGCATTATTCAGAAATGGGTTTACCTATAAAACACTGAACAAAATTATAAACGCAACACTTCTGTTTTAGCCCCCATTCATCATGAGCTGAACTTAAAGATCCATCCACCTCAGAGGTGTGGCATATCAAGATGCTGATCAGACATCATGGGTATTTCACTGGTGTGCCTTAGACTGGCCACAATAAAAGGCCACTTAAAAATGTGTCAGTATCTGGTGTGACCACCATTTGCCTCACGCAGTGCAACACATCTCCTTTGCATAGAGTTGATCAGGTTGTTGATTGTGGCCTGTGGAACGTTGGTCCACTCCTCTTCAATGGCTGTGTGAAGTTGCAGTCAGGTCGAGACCCTGATGAGGACGAAGAGCATGCAGATGAACTTCCCTGAGACGGTTCCTGACAGTGCAGAAATTCTTTGGTTTTCAAATCGATTGTTTCAGCAGCTGTCCGGGTGGCTGGTCTCAGATGATCTTGGAGGTGAAGATGCTGGATGTGGAGGTCCTGGGCTGGTGTCGTTACATGTGGTCTGCGGTTGTGATGCCGGTTGGATGTACTGCCAAATTCTCTGCCAAACACCTTTAGAGATGGCTTATGCTAGAGAAATGAACATTCAATTCATGGGAAACAGATCTGGGGGACATTCCTGCAGTCAGCATGCCAATTGCACGCTCCCTCAAAACTTGCGACATCTGTGGCATTGTGCTGTGGGATGGAACTGCACATTTTTGATTGGCCTTTTATTGTGGCCAGCGGAAGGCGCACCTGCGCAATACCGTCGGATCAGCATCTTGATATGCCACAACTGTGAGGTGGATGGATTATCTCAGCAAAGGAGAAGTGCTCACTGACCCAGATTTTGACAGATTTGTGAACAATATTTGAGACAAACAGGCCTTTTGTTCACTTAGAGAAAGTCTTGGATCTTTGAGTTTAGCTCATGATGAGTGGGGGCAAAAACAAAAGTGTTGTGTTTATAATTTTGTTCAGTGTACTTACAAACTTGATGAAGCAGTATCTGAGCTTGATTTCTCAATAGTAAGAGACAGAAATAGGAATAATGTTGTTTTAGATGTTAGTAATGACTTGTTTTTACCTTTTCTTCCTTACAGATTAGCTTCTGAGAAGATCTATGCGGTTTTCACTGATTACACTCACGATAAGGTAAAGTCGGACGTCTGTTGTTGTTGACTCAAAGTTATCTCTGTGTGTTAGCCCTCTCTTACCACCTGGCATGGCCATTTTGAACCCATTATAATGAATATGTATATTAAAGCATTTTAAATCACAGGTGTTTCTCTTCTCAGTGATATGACAATGTTTATGTTTTTTAGAAGATTAACTTATTTCTTGATCAATAACAGTAATAATCTTACCGTAGATTTCAAGAGATGAAGCTATCAACAAAGTTCGACTAGAAACTGAAGAGGACCTTAAAGGTAGATCAGCTTCAGTATTGCTTGGAAAGAATTTTAAGTTAGGTGTTTCAAATATTGTTGCAACCGCCTTCACAATAATATATTTATATTTATTACGTTTCAATTCAGTTGAGCCTGTCTGTTAGCTGAACAGTGTCACTTGATGTCTTCCATGTCTAGAAAAATTCCCACAGGCTGAGCACTTTGAAGTCATTGAATCCTTCAACACTGTGTGCAAAGAAATCTTTCGCAATTTAGTGCTTAATGAGTACAAGAGGTAAACACCGTGGCACCATGGCAAAATGAATGTATTTTCACATGACACATGAAGAGCCTTTGTAATTGAGGCAAAAACGTTTTTGATTTTGCGTGTTGTAGATGTGATGGGAGGGAGTTGACTGCTTTAAGGAACATTTCTTGCGATGTCGACCTCTTTAAACCACTGCATGGCTCAGCTCTGTTCCAGAGAGGACAAACACAGGTAGGTACAGCACAGGAGGGCCACAGAACCTTCATTTGAAAGGTGTGTTTTGTAAAAGAACTGATGTGTTCTGCACAGTAGTAAAGGTTTGACAATGATTGCAATAGCAGGAGGAGGCCGACCAATTAGGTCCACTCTTTCAACAGAGAATGCTCAGTTCTTATCCTCTTCCTTTTGCTGTAGGTGCTGAGCAGTGTCACATTTGATTCCCTGGAATCCAGTGTCAAAGCAGATATTATCACCACAGCTTTGAGGTAAAATTATCATGACTACTGGTATTCACACATGAAACCACACATTAATACTGTTTACTTCATCAGGACACTTCACATAGTGTTGGTCCATTCTCCACATTTTTAGTACTTTCCTGTCTATATCTGAATGCCATTTCACATATTGTATTCTCCTGAGTGGCAGCCTAAATTATTCACACTGTCATAAATCTCTCTCTCCGGTCTCTTATTTCATTTTCTTTTTGCAGTGGCATTAAAGACAAAAACTTCATGCTTCACTATGAAGTGAGTGAAATCTTGATTTCATTTTTAAATTCACATAGATTATTAGATGTGTGATTCTGTATCCTGTGAATTTAAAATCAACCTTGCATTTAATTTCAGTTCCCTCCATATGCAACAAATGAGATTGGAAAAATGGGAGGCATCAATAGGAGAGAGCTTGGACATGGTTTGTGTGATTTACTTGTATTCAGTGTCCATTAATGACCACCAAAGACTGTGTGGATGTGGAAGTATTTGTTCATGTTTGTGTGTTTGTGTACTCCCAGGGGCCCTGGCTGAGAAAGCTCTGAGACCAGTCATTCCTAAAGACTTCCCTTTCACTATCAGGGTCACTGCTGAGGTGCTTGAATCAAACGGTGAGTGTGGTGATACAGTTTTTTTTTTAAGGTTTGAAAACAATGCAGTCCTCCAGGAAATGTGTTCATTGTTTGTCAGGATGTCTCAGAGTCTTTATTTTCTTTACTCTATATTTCCATCTCTTTATCGCCTCTCAGGATCCTCTTCAATGGCTTCAGCATGTGGAGGCAGCCTTGCGCTGATGGATGCAGGTACCAGAGTGGGAATGCCTGAAATAGCTCTTTTACTGTTGATAATGCCTATAGTAGAATTGTTCAAATGTATTATTTTTACTTAACTTTACTCCGATAACCCAATAAAACAGTCAATTCTATCTAGGATTTAAAATTAGGTTGTATGAAAAGTATGTGACTTTTTTTAGTTTCAATTTCAAAGAGTAACCCCATTATTTAAAGATGGATACATATGATAAAATATCTAGATGTGATTTGCACCAGTGTTTGCATTCACATTTAGTTAAGTGCAGTTGTGTGGTAATATGCATAATATGTCCAAATCTGTGTCTCACAGGTGTGCCCATCTCTTCCGCTGTGGCAGGTGTTGCAGTTGGCCTCATCTCCAAGGCCAACCCAGAGAAGCCTGCTGAGATCCAAGACTACAGATTACTAACTGATATTCTGGTACAGACAGTACAACTGTAGCTGGTTGTAACCATTTATCACTACCAAATGGAAGTGAACGTTTAGTTAAGCAATACAAATCCCCAAAAAGGAATAGTTAATGTCCCTAGTTAACTATAGTGGATGTTGAATGTGAACTATTATTTTCTAAACAGGGGATAGAGGATTACCTTGGAGACATGGACTTCAAATTGGCAGGAACAAACAAGGGCATCACTGCTTTACAGGTACTGTGTCTGATAACTCATAGCAAGTGTCTAAAATATATTTTTAGGCTCACTCTGGAGTAGAAAAGGGAAGGAAAACAAAATAAATCTACCTGAAAAGTATTATTTCACCTGGCCCAAACATTAAAGAAGAGACCAGGGCAGACTTCAATTTAAGATTTTCTATTCATGAATACATAAAGTTTAATTTGAATTATAAGATACTGCTACACTGTGTTGAATCATTGTTACAGCCAGCCAAACAGGATCTTGTTTAGAAAAAGAACCACTGAGGCGGATGTGCCTCAGGAGGTAGAGCGGGTTGCCCATTAATTGGGAAAGGTTGGCGGTTCAATCCTCGGCTCCTCCAGGCTGCATGTCAGAGTGTCCTTGGGCAAGATACTGAACCCCGAATGCGTGAATGTTAGTTTCTGTTTGAGCACTTAGCACTTAGGCTCAGTGTATGAAAAGACTAGAAAGAAGCTATAAAAATACGGAGCATTTACATTTGACTGGATGGTCGTCAAAGGGACAAAGAGCCTTAAGCTGATGATACACAGAGCAACTTTTAGAGCAATCGTGCAGGGCAACGTTGCCATCAATGGTAATGAGTAAAGATTACTACTGTAATCTCCTTCCCCCATCACTCACCCAACCTCCCAACACCGCCGCTATCCGTTCAAAACATAGTCGGACTTGCCACCAGCAAGATTGCCCTGCAACATTGCTCAAAAAGTTGCCCCGTGTATCATCAGCTTTAGACTACATTGTCGCATATTTTACAAAACTTTATTTAACCTCCAGGCTGATGTGAAGATCCCAGGTTTGCCTCTGAAGCTGGTCATGGAGGCTATCCAGCAGGCCACAGGTAAGCTCAACTGGCAGTGGAACTGAACATTTTACACTAAAGAATAAAGTCTGTACATATTTGTTGTGGTTTGATGGCCTTTCTTTCAATATTATTATGTCCCAGTGGCAAAGAAGGAAATCTTGGGCATCATGAACAAATGTATAGCAAAACCCAGAGAGACTAGGAAGGAGAATGGACCTGTTGTGGGTAAGTTTGGTGTTAGAACATAAAATATATTTTCAAGGAAGGGGGACACGCTTGGTTAGAGTTGAACATGTGTCTCAGAAGCTTAAAAGGAGCATTAAGTCTGACAATGGTGTGAAAAGTTTTCTGATATAATTTGTGACTATCTGTAAGACTAGTGGAGCTAGATACCTTTTTTTATTGTGTATTGATAACTGATGTTTGTGAGTTTCATTCTGTCCTCAGAAAATGTCCGGGTGCCTGTTTCTAGACGAGCACGCTTTGTTGGTCCAGGCGGCTATAACCTTCGCAGGCTACAAGCTCAAACAGGTAAAGTGTGTAATCTAAAATTCATATTTTAACTGACTCAGGAAACCAACAGCTTTGTCAATGAAGTTTGTTTTTTCATAATACAGACTTTTTAACAGAATTTTGAAACTGAAGTTTTGGTTTCTCTTCTGAAGGTGTGACAATAAGTCAGGTGGACGAGGAGACTTTCTCTGTGTTCGCACCAACACCAGGAGCCATGAATGAAGCCCAAGACTTCATCAGTGACATCTGCAAAGATGACGTGAGTCTTCACCTGTTTTAAAAAAGCAGAACATGAATGAGTCTGACATTGATCGGAACATGAGGCTGTTTGCATGTAAATTCATGGCTGTACGGTAAGTGCATGAACATATGTGTATTTCTGTTTCGTGTTGCAGCAAGAACAGCAGCTGGAGTTTGGTGCTATCTACACTGCCACCATCACTGAGATAAGGTAATAATAATACATTGCGATGTTTACTGTCAAACAGTGTTTGATGCCAGTCATTAGCACTCAGTTTAAACAAGCACAGTCAAGAAAATCACACTGTGAAATCAAGCTAGCAGCCCCTTTCAGCATTCAAACAGATTCTGAAGCCTTTTTCATGCTCTGCTTCAGGGACATTGGTGTGATGGTGAAACTTTATCCCAACATGAGTGCTGTCCTGCTGCACAACTCGCAACTAGACCACAAACGGGTCAGTAAATTTGCCTCTGCATGCTGTTTTCCTGTGTGTCCATGTTTCTATGAGTGTTTGAGAATTACATCACCACTTACAGGTAGTTTCTTTTGCATTTTCCTCTTTCAGATCAAACATCCAAGTGCCTTGGGTTTAGAGGTGGGACAGCAGATACAGGTATGTCAATAACTAAAGACTGTATAGTCAAAATTAGCCTGCTGTGTTTACATTGTGGGCTCATTTTCTCTGACTGGACTTATGCTAACAGGTCAAGTACTTTGGACGGGACCCAACAGATGGGAGAATGAGACTTTCACGGAAGGTGCTCCAGTCTCCTGCTGCAACTGTTGTTAAGACACTAAGTGAGAAACAGAGCATCTCCATGGTTTCAAGCAACAGCCACACGACCAGCACCGATTTGTGACACACCAACAGACTAGATTGTGTTACAGAATAGTCCTACCAAACCAAGCATCAGATCTTGTCACAAACTGGACCAGTGCTGTACATAAAGAGGTTGTGGATATGGATGTGATTCAACTGGAGCACTGGGGTGAACTGTGCTTCAATGAATGTACACAAACTGAGAAGAACATTTGGATTATGATGAGCAGGAGACATGTGTTAGAAAATTCTACATGTTTCATTTTTAAATATCCCCTTTCATGGTGTCTTGTTTTGCCACCTGGAGTAACTTTGACAGAATCAGGCAGTAAGAGGATTTGCTTTAAGTTTCCTCCAACACAGTCACCTAGCGGTTTTACCTAACAAACAGTGCAATCTAACAAAGTGTTTCTTATTCAAATTTCATCATACTGCCTCTTCTGGTATGGAACTTCCATATTTGGTGTCCACTATGGCAGTGTATCCTCCAAGCTGCCAGGATCAAGATATGGACAAAGAAAATTGTTTTTGTAATATTCCCTTAATGTTGTGTTGCATTTACAGTATGTGTGAGTCATCTGTAAATAAGTGGTTGCTTTGTGGTGTTGAAATTCACAACCATTTCCAGTAAAGAAATACCATGCACATATAAGGAACCAGACTCTGATCTAGCCCAACATTCAGATACCAGATGTACAAAAAAAGCCAACAACAGAATGCCACAAATTGTACTCTTAGTAGAGAAAAAGGTCAATATAACCAATCGAAATGATAAAAAACATAGTTAAAGCAAAATTTTAGACTACAAAAGCCAGGTTGCACAATAGGAGGAAGTAAAAATGCTATACAATAAAATGGATAATGTGTTGAATGAAAAATTTGTAATTGAAGACATGAAATGATTCAAAAAAGAATATTACCCGATCTGACGGCTGGAGCTACTTTATACCAACCAGTGAACAGGCAGTGATCCAAACTATTTTAAGCTTTAAGCCATCTTCAACCCACCCACCCTGGCGCACAGCTAGTTGTTGTTGTTTCACCTATGTAAAAAAAAAAAAAGGCCGTCTTTGTTGCTGGTTCAAATGGGGACGTACACAAGGACCTCATCACCAGTTGTAATACCCATGAAGACAACATGCTTGACATAAAAACATCAACAGCTTGATAGGTGCAGGGTTAAGGTTTCAGGGCTCCTAAATAATCTGGTGGTGAGATTTCCTACACCCATGAGATGTACAGCCCTGAGGCTCGGGAAATACCCATTGCTGTGTCACACACTGCCTGGATTTGGTTGGAATTGTTTACATAAATAAGAATTTAATTATTCAGGCCTCTGACAGAATTTGTGGTTACATTTAAAACTCCCAACACCCTAACCTAAATATGCGCCAAATTAATATGTCATCTCCATGGGGTAAACATTGAGACAATCTGTTAATGTATACGCTTTTCCAAATAGCATCTGTTGTTAACTGGAAACTTTCTGAATAATACAACAGAACAGAAAGAGTCATTTGCACTGTCCAGAAACGGACCCCTTTGGGCAGGGAAAGTACAGTGTGTACTGGTGTTTCGTTCTTGGCTGGAGGGCATTCAGGATGCTCAATATCTGTAACGGTACCAATAAACTGTGTGTGTGTGTGTGTGTCTCTTTGGCTTATTAGTCTGATGGGCAAGTACATAATTTGTTTAAACTATGTAGTTAATATAGTACCGTATTTTAATGGTTATTAATTAAAAACCATCTGAAAGAAAAGGCAGTTATCGTCATGTCTACCTCATGTCATCTGCAGGTACCTGCTGTTGCTGTTACATTTCGTACCTTTAGGTGGCGCGTTGTAGTTGTGCTGCGGTCATTGCCATTGGATGGTGTCGCTCGGAGGAGGAGACCCCGCGGCAGTTAGCGCTTGATTGACGTCGAAGAAGAAAAAGAACACAAGATCGGATTACAAGATGGCGGTCTGTGGACGTTAGCAAGGAGGCCGTTAGAGTTGTTGTGTTCTCAGTAAATTTTACTTCTCGGTTTTGGGCCTCCACTTTAGTTGTTTCACATCGGGAACGTAATATGTTTATGAAATAGCTACCGATACACTTTGCCGCCATTGTGAACTTCACTTAGACGTGCATGTTTTATAACATGCGGGTGGAAACAAAGTTAACAGGTCGAGGGTAGGAAAACACCAGACGGGGTGAGGTGATAGCTTGTTAGCAGCCAGCTAGCCTGCTAGCTCCGACTCGGTTAACCATGTCGGACACTCGGCGGCGAGTGAAAGTATATACGCTGAATGAAGACAGGCAGTGGGACGATCGGGGTACCGGACACGTTTCGTCTACCTTTGTTGAACGTCTGAAGGGAATATCATTATTAGTTCGGGCCGAATCAGACGGTAAGTTCCCGGTTAGCATAGCCGCATTGACGTTACGTTGGCTAGCATTAGCATGCTAACCCCTGGTTGTTCGCACAGAATGCTTTCATTGGCCAGTATGTATACTTGCTTAATTTATTGGGCTTGCTGCTTTACATTTGCTGCACTATTTGGAGCCACTGGTTTCAGACTGTGAACAACAACAGCACTCCCTGTAGACAAACGGCAATAATTTATTGAATAGCTGGTGCTAGCAAGCTCGTTGGTTTAGCAGGCGACGTGATCTCAGTAGCATGGGGGCCTTCAAAGTCTAGTCTTAAACGTACAAACTCGTTATTGCTCAGCATAGTAAATGATTGTGTGTTCATGTACAGATCATAAAAAAACTAAACACTGGATAAGGCTAGCGGTATGTTATAAACTCCGCTGTTAGCTTTCACTTTGTGTTGTTGCAACACTGTTTTACTCAGCATTACACATTGTCTATTATTTGACGTTAAATGCTCTCTACCAGGCAGAATAATTGGCCTTAATCTTCAAGAATTGGTTATCAAAGTTGTCATTTGGCAGTCTTTGTTGTTGTTCATTCGCACTAGCTAGAAAGTGAAAAGTTACCCAGGTCTTTGTGTTTTAGGATCACTTCTATTGGAGTCGAAGATAAGCCCGAATACTGCATATCAGAAACAGCAGGTAAGAATAGATCATCTGAGTCTGGATCAGCTACATCTTCTCACACGTTGCCTCTTTCAAATTCACTGTATGTCAAAATCAGAGTATTACATTTTAGTAATTTCAACATTCAGACTTGTTGCTGGACAATTGCTGCTACAGTGATGCAATGCAGACAGTGGGAATCAGAATCTGATCTGATTGTAAACCTGGAAACCAGTAATAAGCAGGTCACATCATTAGTGAATACATATGAAAATACATAAACAATTTTGTTACAGAAATTTGGTTAGAATAGATTTGAGCCAAATATTTCCCTTGCATATTGTAGCAAAGTGACCTCATTCATAATTTTAAAGGACTTGTTTCCAGGTTTATACATTTACAGGCATGAAACCGCTTGTATGCGTTAAACTAATATATGAGGTTGCAACCATTTTTAGTGTGTCCTGCTAATATGATAAGCAGTTCTTTGTGTACAGTTTGATGTTTCTCTCTCCTTCTTCCAGGATACGCTGATTGTTTGGTCGGAAGCAGATAATTATGACCTTGCCCTTAGTTTCCAGGAAAAGGCTGGTTGTGATGAGATCTGGGAAAAGATCTGTCAGGTATGGTCCAGTTCTACTAAATTTTGTGCATTGTTTTAAAAGGTTTCTTTACTGGGCAGTACTCAAACAGTAGTGAGACCTTTTACTGACACTACCACAAAAAGCAAGATGCAGTACGTTGACACTTCTAGTTTAATTCTTCACTTCATATCTTCCAACTGTTTATTGCTCAGGTTCAAGGCAAGGACCCTACCCTGGACATCACCCAGGACCCCATTGATGAGTCGGAGGAGGAGCGCTTTGAGGAGATTCCAGAGACAAGCCACCTGGTGGAGCTCCCTCCCTGCGAGCTAAGTCGGCTGGAGGAGATCGCTGACCTGGTTACCTCTGTCCTGTCTTCACCCATCCGGAGGGAAAAACTCGCCCTGGCCCTGATGAGCGAGGGCTACATCAAGAAACTCCTGGGTCTCTTTAGAGTCTGTGAGGACCTGGACAACAGGGAAGGCCTACATCACCTCTATGAGATTGTCCGTGGTGTCTTGTTCCTCAATAAAGCTGCCCTCTTTGAGGTGATGTTCTCTGACGACTGTATCATGGATGTAGTGGGCTGCCTTGAGTATGACCCAGCGCTGGTTCAGCCTAAACGGCACCGGGAATTCTTGACCAAGACAGCAAAGTTTAAGGAGGTGATCCCTATCACAGACTCTGAGCTGCGGCAGAAGATCCACCAGACCTACCGGGTGCAGTACATCCAGGACATCATCCTGCCCACACCATCTCTCTTTGAGGAGAACTTCCTGTCCACACTCAACTCCTTCATCTTCTTCAACAAGGTGGAGATTGTCAGTATGTTGCAGGTAAGGATCCAAACCAGGTAACTTGTATTACTCTTTAAGGCCATGATTATCATCGTGTATTTGTCTAATGGGGCATTCCATACCAAATTTACTTGCCAGCTGAAGAAGCTGCCGTGGAACATTTCTGCATGTGTTTTCCCAAATCTACAATCAGTTGCAACTGACAGAAGTTAGTTTGACAATCACAAGAGAACCTGTCCTCCCTGTGGTTCTAGACAGTAACATGGCTCATACTTGATTATCAATGAATAACTGAATTTCCATCATTAAATGTAATAATTTCTTAAGGGAAATGTAAAATGTTTAATCGTGTGGAAGTTCGATTTATCTATGTATCTAAGTAAGACTTATAGCAGTAATTTGAATCTATAATGTGTTGTGATAATCTACCTGTACATGTTGTAATCAAACAATGCACGTGGCCAGGGAAAGGGGATAACTCTGTTTATTCAATCGTAGATCAAACATGTGTCAGGTGGTCTTGTAAAATTGGGGAAACAACAGTATAAACTGGAAGACAATCCAGGCACTCCATAATATAAGTTGTTGAAGCATGTTAGCTTTGTTAATGATTTTGCCACTATAATAAATGCTTTTTAATATTTCCGTCCCTGTTATATTGTGCCTGGATTGCCTTCCAGTTTATCCCAATGTATATGGACACTCTGGAAACTTTCCACAAGTCCACAAGTTAAAGATGTGTCTGTGTATCAAGTTTTGTAATGTGACGACTGACCCATTAAAAATATAAGATAATGAACAGTTTTTGAAACGGTTTTGAAAATTCAGTGAATGAGTTAAATGTCCATTGTTTGGCTCGTCAGTAGACTTGAATATGGAGCTTATGTGAGCTGTGTGTTAATTGTAAATAATTTGTACCATATAATCATTTTCATGATGCAAACAGTACTTTACAGGCCAATCATTTCATATTTAAGCGTTCAGCATTATTATATTATTATTATATTATTGTATTTCAGGGCTAATGTGAAGAGAAGTGACTCTCTAATAATCATGGGTTTCTCTGTGTTTTTTTGGTTCTTGTTGCTGCAAAATCTGAATGCAAACTGTCCTAGATTAATTTTTGCCATCCTCCCTTTTTTCCTCTTTGTATTGTAGCCTTTTATTTGTTCAGTGTCTTGATTCTAAACACTGTTTCCTGTGCCACAGGAGGATGAGAAGTTCCTAACAGAGGTCTTTGCACAGCTCACAGATGAAGCCACAGAGGACAGTAAAAGAAGAGAACTTGTAAGTCCAAGACTTGTCAATTCTCCAGGCCAGTTTGTTGTTTTTTGTGGGAAAATGTAGAAACCAAAGGATGGGCACTATTGTAATGTCTGGAAATGATTAATTCTGTTCTCCCATGCAGTTTTCATTTATTCAACTTTGGAAAAAAGTTTACATCCTGAAATGGAGAAAATTACAGTTTGAGACTGAACCAGAAATTTTTTTTCCCACTGCTGCACAATATCACAAATGAAACTATGTTTGTGGATAGTATTTTTGAGTGACCTTTAAATATTGCCTTTAATGTGTCAAATGCCGATCAGCCATTACATCTGTTTGTCCTCCTCTACTCCTCAGGTGAACTTTGTCAAAGAATTCTGTGCTTTTTCACAAACGTTGCAGCCGCAAAACAGAGACGCTTTCTTCAAAACGCTGGCAAATCTAGGCATTTTGCCTGCTCTTGAAATAGTCATGGTATGTTCTAGGCATAATTTGGGTGTGAATGTTGTTATTTGGTTGAACATACTCCATATTTTCTTTGCCTATGAATGGTCAACTGGGGGAGTATTTTGTGTGTATAGAATTCTCTCTGTCTTGGTCTTCAGCGTAACTATTTTTCTCCTGTTCAGGGAATGGATGACCTGCAAGTGAGGGCAGCAGCTACAGACATCTTCTCTTACCTGGTGGAATTCAGCCCCTCCATGGTCAGGGAGTTTGTCATGCAGGAACCACAGCAAACAGATGACGTAAGCAGCTACACAACCCTGTCAACAAGCATGCTTGCACTTTGGTTTGGTTCAGTCCAATATTGCATTTATAAAATTCTACATAAAAAAAAAAAAAATAAATAAATAAAAAAAAGGTTCCATTTAGCACAGTATTGTTGTGACAAATAAGTGAACAGAATATTTGAATTATGTACCGTGCTCAGGTTGGTTGATACTTGTATGAAATGTTGTGTACTGCAAACATAC